AAGCTGGGGCTCAGAGAAGGGGAAAACTCTACAGAAGCCTAATTCAAAGGCTCTAAAAGCCGGAGGAGGGTGAATCACATGCTCTCTGGGTCCACCCAATTCTGATGCCCCTCACCCTTTTGGAGGCCACTGACCCCATTCCGTCCCCTTTCGGCCTCCCGCCTCACCCCGCCCTCTCCGCCCCCTCCCCCCCACGCTGCATCTTGGCCACCCGCTCTCCAGCCCAGGCCTGGCATGCGCTCCTGAAGTGCAAGCGAGCATATTTTGGCCTGAAAATCAGAAACCGATTTAGGGGGCGCCTGGGTGGCTCAGTTGGTTAAGCGACTGCCTTCGGCTCAGGTCATGATCCTGGAGTCCCGGGATCGAGTCCCGCATCGGGCTCCCTGCTCCGCAGGGAGTCTGCTTCTCCCTCTGACCCTCCCCCCTCTCATGTGCTCTCTCTCATTCTCTCTCTCTCTCAAATAAATAAATAAAATCTTAAAAAAAAAAAAAAAAAGAAACCGATTTAGGAATCAAAGTGTCTTTCAACCCAAAGTCACAAACCAACGTTCATCTTCAGCTTTTTGAACATTTTGGCCATGCTCCTGTGCCCAGCTGTGGTGAAATATAGGAACACATCATCCCCAGCTAACAACAAAACAGTAGTGTAAAAAGTGCTGACACCCTTAAGGCAGGCAGCCCCCTGCTCCTGTCCACAGAATGTGCATCATCAGAGTCTTCCAGCTGTTAATGTTTGAATAATCCATTTCTTTTAAAGTGGGCACAGTTTAAGAAATACTCTTGTTTCTCAGCGATCAACTCAAGATTCTATTAGACTATGGTTTCAAAACCTGAGTGGAAAATATTATCCAGAATACTTAGAAAAACTGCATAAAATTCACCACTCTCATTTTTCAGGTTGGTGCCTTTCTTTTTCTTTCTTTCTTCCTTTCTTTTCTTCCTTTCTTCCTTCCTTCCTTACTCTCTCTCTCTCTCTCCCTTACCTGCCCTCCCTTCCCTCCTTTCCCTCCCTTCTTCCTTTCCTTCTCTTTCCTCTCTTCCTTTATTTCTCCTTTCCTTCTTTTTTTCCTTCTTTGTAAATGTGTATTCATTGAAGCTAATTTTTTGGGCATTTCAATGGTCAATTCAGTTAGGCGACCTCAGAAGCAGTGTCTCAGAAAAGGGCTGTGTTGTTTTGCATAAAATCTTACACTTTCCAAAACGTCCTGATCAAACAAGTGATATATATCATAAGTTTTAGAAATATTAAATATGGCTATTTTTTGGAGGTTCCTTCTATTCTTTGTTTTCTAGCCGACTTGTCCCATCAGGTCGAAATTGTAAGGGGCCCTTGTTTGCTTCTCAACATCAGAATGTCTAAATGTGATAATAAAATGAGGCTACAGCAGGATTCACTTACATACACTGAAGAAGAAAAGTGTTAGTATTTCCCTAGACATTAATATTCCCTAGATAAATTCTCCTTCTCAATGGTAGGGGGTGAACATCTGGATATAACTGAGATATTCAGGTGACTATCTTCAGATTATAAATAAATGTATCATTCATCCTGACCTTGGCCAGTGAGCAAAATCCGTGCCTGTGTGCTTTGCACAAATGTGTATATGTGATGTGGAAGCGAGTAAAAGTACATGTATGCGTTCCTAGCAGTCTGTAAAAACAAAACAAAAAAGTGTGTTATGGGAGCAAGGAAGGGGCGACAGAAACCACTCCAGTTTTGCTAAGATGCTGAAGCAGCTGGGCGCAGAGGGGAGTTACCAGAAGGCAGGATAGAAGTCCGTGCCTGGGCACGGTCAGCATCACAATGCGCCCAGGTCGGGGCCAGTACGCTGAAACCCAGCTCCGTAGTTTGCACCGGAATTCCGCTGGGCGTTCTGGTTCTTGCCCAGCCCAGAGGTTTAGCTTCTCCGGTCTGGACTTTGCCTGCTGTTGGGAGGGGTCCGGCGGCCCTCGGAGGCCCCCTCCTCTTGGTTCCGGGAGCGCGCGGCGCGCGGGACTCCGCCCGCACAGGCGCGCTGGCTCTCAGATCCGCCGCAGCGGGCACGCCTTGCCCCCTAATCTAGAGCCTTGGGCGGCCGCACGTCGCATTGTCCGAGCGGACTGAAAAGGAGGGCTCCGTGCGGGCAGCATCTGGGGTCGCCTCCGTGGTAGAAGAGACGCCCGGGGGTTCAATTTTGCTCTTTGCCCTCCTTGCCCGAGGGAAGGAGGAAGATACTTGTTTACAAAGAGGCCCCGGTTTCTTCCCGCATTAGGAAATCGTTCCGTGGTTGCGTAGACAGTGCCCCAGCGCCAGAGGTACTCGCACAAGGAGGCAGCGGCCTAGACGGCCTTAGGATTCTTGTTTGGTGTTGCTGGGTCGCATGCGCCCATTTCTTTCTTTCCCGGGGCTTTTCCCCTTACTTTTTGGCAAAGAAGTGGGTAGGACTAGCTTCTTAAACTCAAGAAATTATTTTAAAATCTCTCACGCTAGAGGCGAACGCAAATTCTCCGAACACGTGGGAGACACCTGAGGTTCCGGTTCACGCCCCTCGCTGGCGCGATGCTCCTGCGGGGCCGGCGCGCGGGGTCGCCGGGGGGGTGCGAGGCCGGGTCCCCGCACCCGGGCGGGGGAGGGCATGCAGGAGCCGCATTCCGGCTTCAGCCTAGGTTCAAAGATTAGAAAAACAGGTGTTACGTCGCCATGCTAATTCACTCACTCGGTAAACGCGGCTCAGACAGTTGTGTGCGGAGGACTTAGCGAGGGGGCCGTCCCCACATGGCCGTGCATTCACTTTGTTTATTAAACATCTACTCGGTTCATCGACTACTGGGTTTCACTGGGACGCAGGAACAGCCCGCTGGGCCCCCCAGGACGTCATCTTTGGTATGAAGACCTACCTACTCATTTTGCCCATTTTGCTTCTGAGAGCAAAATACTGCTTTTCTTCCGGTGAAACGCTCTATTGTATGGGGAGCGGGGCACCTCCTGACGCCCCAGGGTGTCTCTGCCGTGGGCAAGGGTTTCAGATCCTAATGAAGCACTAATACACCTGCACGTTGTTGAAGGAGAGGTAGGGTTTAAGTAACCAGTGACTTAACCGACATCCTTTCCAGAACAAAGTCGGAATAGAAAACTGCTTAACTCTATAAAGTGCCATTGCTGCGCCTGGCCCCTCCATTTACCCATAAGATGTGTCCAGATTTGGGAGGGGGGAGAAGGGTCACAGAAGGTTTTTTTCACCCTTCCCAAACACACACCCTCTCTCTTTAAATGCAGTAGTTAACTTGATCTTATCTGGTCTTCCTGGAATGTCGTGTGTAAGAGAGCCACACTACATCGCTCTCAGTATTCTTACTCCTCTCTTGTTAGGAGTGTATCACTTGGAGGTCGGAACCCTCCCAGAGCCGGGTCTCTAAGTGTCCCCAGCCTCTGGGGAAATGACTCCTTCTAGATTGGAGCCTATCGGCTTGATTCCAGTTTTGAAACACCTGTAAAATCTATATGTTTCGTTTTGTCTTATTCTTTCTATCCAGACCGTTCACCTCTTCTTGCCAGGTGCTTCCCAGATGTGTAAATATCCCCAGAAAGCTCCCGTTGTCGTTCTGCGAGCTTACTGCCATTGGGCAGCAAGGAAGTTGCAGATGTCTGTATTTCTGAACACTCTTAAAGTTGTTCCGAATATCAGAAAAAATGGCACAACCCCTCTTCAGAGTATATGTTTTCTTGGTGGCAGTTACGGCCACAAAGGAGAGGATGACTGCAACATCACTGGTGTGCTTACTGTCTTTTACCGCCGATGAAACAACTGCCTCCAAGTGCACCTCCAGGAGGAGAATGGTGGTCACCAGCTGCACCAAAAAACAAGCGGGGAATCGCCTTTGTAGGGAGTGATTCCAAGCAGTAGTAATTATTTGGGGTGGGGGGGAAGTCAACTTTCCCCGTTGCTATCTGCTGTCTTTCCTCAGATGACAGAAGACAAGAGATTCAAATCAGAGGGTCTCTTAAATATAATTTGTCAGCGATAGTACTTGCAAACGTTTGTTTAAATGAGTCCTGTTGGGAAAACTGTGAATGTTGTAAATTTATTGATGCAGAATGTATCCTTTCATAAGGAATGTCACATTGGACTTGTGTTTCCTGAAACAAAACCCAACAACAACAACAAAAATCTTCGCTCGTTTAAGATAACAGATTGTTGTGAGATATCTATCTATGTATCAACCACTCTACCTAACTCTATTTTGTGCTGAAATGTTCACCTCTTTTCCTCTAGAGTCCCCTATCTGCTCCCCATAGGACAACTCCACCGCTGAGCTTTCCACGGTGAACAAATCAGCCCCCAAACTCGAGCCATTTCGAAAAAGACTCTCCTCTTTGGGATTAAAGACAGGTATATGTATCTTCTCTGGCGATGAATTCAGTGTCGCTGTGGTTTCAGAGAAACGTGAGAGAGAAAGCGCAACACCGGCCCCGCGCAAGCAGTGGGCCCCGCGACTTGCCCCAAGGGAATGGCTCGGCCGCCAGGTCGGCCTTTGGGCCGCTCGCGCCCGCAGTCTGGGCGACTCCAGCCTCGTCGCCAGGAACCCCAGCCCCCCCGGCCAGACTTCTGCGGCCTCAGGCCGCAGCCCGCGGGTTTCGGACGCGCCTGGCACAGCGGGGCCAGGTCTCGGGGCTGGGAGCGCAGCCACTCGACCCCGGGGAGAGCGGGAAGCGAGGGTCCTGCACATCACCCGCGAGGCCCCTGGAGGCCGGGAGCAGCGGCGGCTGCCGGGCAGCGCCGCCACCGGTGCCCAGGGCTCGTCGGGAGCGCTGCAGCCACGCGGGTAGCAGAGCGAGCCCCGAGCAGGGGCGCGCAAGGGGTGGTGCGGGTCGTGCTCGCGTCACTCAGCCCGGCCGGCCAATGAGGGCCTCTCCCCGGGGCAAGCCGAGCCAATTGGAGGCGAGGAAGTTTGTGAGTGGCATTAAGGGAGGGCGGGAGAGAGGGAGCCCGGGAGTGAAGTTGAAGCTAAACCCGGTGAGCTATAAAGAAGTTACAGGGGGGCGTTTTCGGCTTCCAATTAGGAATAATACTGGCTTCGTAGCAACTACCGAGGAGGAGGATTCTAAAACCACCTCACCCGTGCCAAATCCTGCATCCCCCTCGTTCTCCCACGCACCCCTTCCCCAATTCATGACCGAGAAAAGAAAAGGGAGCCAGGGCGCGCTCTGCTCCTCTCTGCCGGTGGGAAGCCGAGAGGCCGGCGGAGTTGGATGGTAGGCATGAGTACAATTAAGCGGTGCGCGCCTCTGCACCCTTTGCCGCCAGCGGGGATTGAAGGTAGGTGAAGCGGAAGACACCTTGCGCCCGCCCAGAGGCACCCGCGGCTCTGCGGCGGAGGGGGACAGGCCGGGACGCCTCCCCCCTCCCCCCTCCCCATGCCTGCGAGGGGCTGTCGTGAATGTGCCACCTGTTAACCTGGCGCTGCCCTGCCCGGGGTGTTGCCGCCCCCGCTGGGCAGGGAGAGCCCTGGGTCGCCTTGGGAGTCCCGAGGGACTTGATGTGTAAGTGCCACTTTTTGAGGACTCCCTGAGACTTGAGACCCAAGTTAGAGAAGTAGCCAAATTCCAGATCTGCCCAAGTGGGGGGACTGAAAGGCGGCCTCGGCGCTGTGGAGGAATTCTGACTTGTGGAAACCTGCTTTCCTGGGACATGCGCTTGGCCTGGGCACAGGCACGGGGACCGGCGACTGAGGGTCTTCTAAGGGTCTTCAAAAATATGTATTTTGTTATTTGGGCAACTTCCCAGGGGGCTGGAGAATGTGGCTGGCATGGATGAGGGAATGGGAGCATTATTTGCAGGGGGCTCAGTCTCTCCCCTTCCTCCATATCTTAAACAAACAAACAAACAAACAAACAAACAAAAACGCGGAGCCTGGAGAGGCGCGCTGAGGCGAGCTGAGGCCTTTTCCGGCCGTTTTTCGGAATTCGGGCGAGTGCATGAGTGATTGCGGAGCTGCAGATCTCTTACGCTCTGATGCTGTTCTCTTCACAGTGGCCTGAAAGAGTTGTCCGGCATTCCTGTTCTTCCCAAAGGGGCTCGGAGCCGCCTCAAACGCCGCGGGACTGAAGAGCAAACGTCGGGGATTATTATGTCGATCTTCTGGGGACCGGGGTTTGCCTCGCCGAACAGAAGAAAAGGCTGGCTTCTCAGGGGTCCCGCCGGCATTTGATACTCAGAGACGCCTAGGATTGTCCAGATTGCCGTGGATCAGCAACTTTCCTGCATTCGCGTCCCCTATTTTTAAAGAAAATCATTTTCTGTTTGCTGCGTTGGTCTTTCACTGACATCAATACACTGAAGCAAAGACTTCGGTCTTTTCATTCAAAGTGTGCTTTATATTTTTGCCAAATATGATCTCTAATTGAAAGTTTATTGTTGCTTTTGGATGAATCTGTGGAGTTTATGCTGTAAGAAGAAAGGGAGAACAAGACACAATGAAAGAGAAGTCCAAAAATGCTGCCCGGACTAGGAGGGAGAAGGAAAACAGTGAATTTTATGAACTGGCTAAATTACTGCCTTTGCCCTCGGCTATCACCTCGCAGCTGGACAAAGCATCCATAATCAGACTCACCACCAGCTATCTCAAAATGAGAGTAGTGTTCCCAGAAGGTAAGTGACTCTGCCCAGATGGGATTTCAAAGGCAGAAGGGGTAAAGGTTTGCCAGTGAGTGAGCCTACACCACTGAACAGAGGCGTACGCTCGCACATACATACATACTCTCTGCAAAGGGAAGTTTAGCATGGCTGCTTGACTAAGGACCTCTCTGAACTTAGAATTCCTGTTGCCTTTTTGTGGCCCTTTCTACTTCCCCATTACTACTTTCTCTCCAGTCCATCGGATATGTTTGGTTGGGAAGCAGCCCAACAGTGCTTTTGTCAACACTTCAGATACTGAGCTCCACTGAAAGTACAAGTAATCCAAACATGACTCTTTTTTTTTTTTTTTAATTCCTCTTGTTAGAATTGTATCTAGCAGAAGGCAGGAACATTGCCAAATTCTTGTATTTTGCTACATATAGACAGACTCATGTACATGGAGCTAGCTAAGCTAGAAAATAATTTCTCTCCAAGTTTATAATTCTGCAGAAGAGAAGCAGGCATATTTATGAACAAATTTGTCCTGAATTTACCAGTCTCTTGACTGCTTATAGCAAATTTATTCTGAGTTTTTGAGACATTCACACATTCTGAAACTAACTCTGGGGCTTCATGATTTGCAACTCTGAGTTTGATATTATCTCTGAGATAATAGGCTAGGACCCAAATACTAAAGGTTGACTCAAGAAGACTAGCCCGCGTGGAAAATATCTTCTAGGTGGCAGGTTGGCAAACGAGTCCTGGGAAAATTGTCTTTTAAGGCCTAGAAGGAAGAACAGCTGAGCTGGTCATGATTTAAAACATGTATTTAGATTATCAAGATTCACTGTGTGAGGACAGAGCAGCTGTCAAAGAACACTGTCCTGTATAAAATCATTTATACTCACTAGGAAAAGGATACTTCTCTCTTCCATCTCCCCATCCTTTCCTTTACCCACATTCAAATAATATGTACAGATTTTTAAAAAGTATTTAAGATACATCTTTGCTAGAGGAGAGAGATTGGGGAATATAAAGGGGAGAATACTAAACAAACAAAAAATTCCAAGAGAAAGAACCCTGTTTATTTACAAACCAAAATGTCTTATTTGACCCACAGAGGTTTATGTTATTGTTGATTTTGGGTGTTTGGGGTCTGTTGTTTTCTTTTAAGGAAATAGGGGGAAGGAAATAGCCATTATTGGGCATGGAGTTTCACTTTGTTTGATCTTGACTAGAAGTTATTATCTGAATCAAAATCTTGCAAAACGTGTCGACAAATTAGCCAGGGGCACTAAAGGAAAACTTTCAAATTATAGTTCAATTTTACCCCAGAACTACAAGTAGTGTTACAGTTGCTTTGTCTTAAAGCAGTTCCTTGAACAATCTCAAATGACCCTGGAAACCACAGGAAGAGAGGAATCAAAACCTAAAGTTCCTGAAAAGTTAAAAAAAGAAAGAAAGAAAGAAAGAAAGAAAGAAAGAAAGAAAGAAAGAAAGAAAGAAAGAAAGAAAGAAAGAAAGAAAAGAAAAGAAAAGAAAAGGGGGGAACTTATATATTAAAAAACCATATTTCCCATTCAAACTGTGCTGAGAAATGCTGGTGGGAAAAGTACTATTATGCTACACTGCCTTCTGTTTAAAAAAAAGAGATTTCGTTGTCTTTTATACTGTCAGCGCCTACTTTATAAAAATAAAGCTATTGCGAACTCGGCTGGCCGCGCTGTTCCTAACAGGATTATTAGCAGTGATTTGTCAGCCCCTGCGGTCTCAGTGGGTTCCCTTTCTGCGTGATTTCTAGCGGGTCTCGTCAATTATCGGTGCCGATGTCGCTCGCTGTTTGATCAGAAGAAGCATATGGTGCTGCTTGTGGGGCTGCGAGTAATCGCGGGAGGAAAAGAATAGGGGATCGGCGTTCCCGGGCGGGCACAGAACGAGGGCTAGGAGCGCCCAGGGAGTTGCCGGGCCGGGGGCTGGTCTTTGTCGCGCAGACCAGGGCTGGCGCGGCCGGGAGGGTTGCGGGCTGGTTTTTTGTTGTTTTGGTTTTGTTTTCTAAGAGAGCAAGCTGTCTTAAATAAATGCTAACTCCACAAATTATAAATCGCGTGGTAAATAGGAGGAACAGAAGGTAAACTCTCTTAGCCAACTTCTTATTTTTTTAAAGAGAGCACTGGCAAAGAACCCCCCCCCCCCCACCGCCCCCTGGAGTCCCCTTGGTGGCCGGGCGGATCCCCTGTGGCTACTTTAACTACGACTGTGCTTTCTGCAGCCCCCTTCACTTTCCTCCGGAGCCCCGGGCCCCTCCCTCCTCTCCCTTCTCCGGTGGACTAGTGTGAGTTTATGGGGAGGAGGGGATGGACGATGTGTGAACTCTGGGCACATCATTTATTTCTCCAGCTACTGTTGAGCTCATAACTCACCCGCAGTCTCCACCCGGTGAGTTAGAAGGGTTATCCGAACAGCTGGCTCCTAGGGATGAAGTTTTAATTTTAAGGATAGATTAGCTTCAAAAATCCAAAACCCAGACAACCTTTAAAATATTAAAGCCCTTTAAAATATTGAAGAATAATGACAACACACACACACACACACAAAACCCCAAAGAAAACAAACAAAAAAAAAACCCCCAAAAAACCAACATCTTTCAAAGGAGTGAAAAAACCACAAGCAGCAAAACCAGGCACAACCTGCAGAGGGTGCCAGATTTGGGTTCAGCTGTGGACTGAAGGCAGAAGAGTAGACCAAACTGGGCCCATGACAGTAGGGGAAACTGGGCACTTTTTTGTGGAGGTAACCTTTTTTTTAGTGATGAGAAATAGAAAGAATTTGAAGCTGTAGTTCCTGTTTACACCTATCTTGATGCCATTCCAGCACATAGTAGGTCTTAAATTTTGTTCTAAGGATGGAGTAAATGATAGCTTTTTCATCATGGTAAGCATTCTGTCACATGTAACATATGGATTTTGCAAGGTATATAATCTAAAATAATTATAAATCTGATGACATCTTAGTTATAAGCACAAGGATGACTATAAAACTCCACTGTTTTGGCTCAGATTACATTTCATCTACAATACCCAGGTAATATCAAAAGGCTTAAATCAACACACAGAAATCTTTCCATACTTACATTTGAAAGACATAAGAAAATACTTAAAATATAGCTAATTCCCCATCACTAAATATAGCTCCCCCCTTCCCCAGGTTCTGGTAGATTCCTGGTCTGGGGCAAACTTCAGTTTTTACTTATCTGAGTGGATAAAATTGAGCTGTTGAAAGAAAAAATGAGAGAGAAAGAGAGATTGGGAACACAGGAACGGGATATGGGTGCCTGGAATAATTAAGAATAAAGCATTAGATTGGAGACTTCATACTTAAAAAAACACAGGGAAAATTACTGTGAAATCATTAAAACTGCGTATCTCCCATTGGCAGCATATTCCATTCTAAAATAGCCTTGCAAAGAAAAAACTTGAGAAATGTATGAGTCTTTGGTGTTATCAAAGCTAGAAAGACAGGATAAAAAAGAGAGATGGTGTGCCTTGTGTGCAAAATAAGACAAATTCAACTAAAAAGAAATATGTATTTGTTATCCAGCTATAATACAGGTTTTAGCTGGGGGCGTAGTGGCTTGCTGAATAACCTTTGAAAGGATTAGACATGTTTTCAAATCTATAGCCATTGAGAATCTTGGTAACATCACACTACCATTTCATTGTCAAGATGTCCTGGGAAAATAAAAATAATCACAGAAATGAAATTAGTCACTGTGCAGGAAAGCGAGTCTCTACAAAGGCTGGAAGGACAAGGATGATTAAACAAACCTCCACAGACCCCTTCTATAATATTCACCTCAAGATTGAAATCCTTAATCGCCTTATATTTTTTTGAGGCCAAGAACTGAAAGAGAAGAAGAGGCCCCATTTCCCACGTGGATGGGTGATTTAAGGTTGTTTTTCTTGCTGCTCGGGGAAATGATTGAGCATTAGGTTTCCATGTTTATTTTCTTACAGAAGTTTTTCTCATTTAAAAGCCTTTAAGCCCAGTTTACGCTCCACGCTGGTTTTCTCTGTTTAATTCCAGTTTTGATGTTGACTTAAAATGTAGAGGGCAGAACTAACCTCCGCACAGAGCATTTGCAAGGCAGATTTATGTGCTTGAAATTGTAGATTAGATCAATGAAAAAAATACTTTTTTTTTCTTTAAAGGGGACGGTCACTAATAAAAACAATAACAACAGCGAAATAGGGCATTATAAGCTATGGCGAGATGCTTTTAAGCAGGGTACAATCACACACCTGAAGCTAAAATCAGGCTAATTTTCCAGAGGACAAACATGATTTCTAGGGGAGTTATTTTTCAATCCTGGGGGAAATCTCGGCAGCTTGGAGATTTGCAGACGCAAATGTGGACACAATTCGAACCCATGGATTCTGGCTCTATGTCGGCCCAGGTATTTCTCAATAGAATGAAGTTTAGACCCAGCTAACACCTTATGATGTTAGCTGTCCACCCATTGCCGGTCTGATTCATGGAATTTTAAGTTTTGCGTAGGGAAGGAGAGCCCTCAAGTATTTAGCAAGGGGCCTGCTACTTAGTACTAAAACATTGTTGGAGAAGTGTGGAGCAAACTTTCTGCAGGTAGTCCCATCCGGGAGGCGGGTCCTGCGCGGAGTCGCTCGACCTCGGTGGCTCGGGCCGGACCCGAGACAGCGACCTTGTAGAAACCTCTACCGCCCTCTGGTACGTAACGAAGCACGCAGCTGGGAGAAGCCTGCTTGCTGCCGCTCGCAGGCCAGGTCGGCCCGGCGAGGCCCATTCTGTCCCGGCCGCGGGTGGCCGCAGCCGAGAATGCGCCCGCTGGAGTCTCCGCACGGTCCAGACCAGGTCTCTGCCCTCCAAGGTTCGAAGACGTCCCAGCGCGCCTGCCCCAAGCAGGGGCCGGGCGGGTGCGGGAGTGCTCCCTCTGTGATTCGTGCTGCCCGGGCCACCGCCCCAAGGACGGGCCGTTGTTTAAACCTTAAGTGGAGACCCCGCCCGAGCGGACAGTAGTGCGGCGGTCGTGTCCCGGCAGCCAAATGGAACACAAGCGGGATACGCCTGAACAGCGGGGCAGCCTTGTCCGCCCACCCGCGCCTGCCTTTGGGGCGATGGCATTGCACCTTCCGGCCACGTTTGAAGACGTGGAGCCCTGGGGCGACACCGCTTGACGTTTTTCAGCGTCACGCGTGCACTATTGTCAACCCCGCGTGCATTTCCGTCCCACAATTTAGTTGGGACAAGGCTGAACCCCGCCTGTCCTTGGTTCCTGCAGCTCCCGCTCTCTTCGCGGCGGGTTCTGACGCCGGAGGCCAGCTTGGCCGGCATTCTCGATCCCGACCTGGAAGCCCTAGCTCCAGGGCCAGAGCACAGCGAGGGTGCAGAGACAATCAATGCTGGGACCATCAGGCTCCACCCCAGATTTATAACTAATATTTGCAGATTCCCCGGGCGCGGCCAGGGGTCTCAGAGGCGCGCAAGGGAGAGCAGGGTACACACCGCCACTGCGGAGTGCAGAACACACAGGGGAGTGCAGGACGCACACTGTAGGGTTCAGGCTGCTGCGCGGCCGCGCACAGCTACCGTCGCCCTCTGGAGGTCGGCCACACCCGCCAGGTGGCCGGAGGGCGCCTCGAGCCGAGAGGGCCACGGCGCCCGAGGCGTGGGGGTGGGTACGCCGAGCCGCGGGAAGCAGCCTTCTACCCAGTGACCGCTCCGGGCGCTCTGTCTTGTCTAAGGGCGCCCAATCTCCGTCCCTCTCTTCCCCAGAGAGCACAGCTTCTGAGGCCTCCGGAGCCCTCACAGGAAGACCGTTAGATTGCTGGACGAGGGTGGTGGAGGGAACCCAGATGGCTGACACAAGTCCCTCCGGGACCCGAAGTTAGGAGCGCGGTCTCGGAGGGCATTTCCCTACCGTAGTCACCAAATTGTGGTCAGATCCTGGGACAGCTCTTCCAGTCCCTTCCCACCCCCATATTCCTAAAAGGTATATCGCGATCTGTCAATCAGATGAAGCTTTCTGGGAACTACTATAAGGAGGACACATTTCTATTGAGATATAGTTTATTAAAGGGAGGGGGGAAAGAACAGTAGAACAAGCTCTTCTCTTCCTCCTCTTCCTGTCTGAGTGAAGGAGGTGATGATGCCAGGTCTGTAATCTATATTTTGTCAAGGGTATGAAATTCATTCCGAAGGAAAAGCTCGATCAATTTATTTTTGCTGCTTGTAATAACACAGCTGGATGATGCTTTGAGCTCACGCTAGACTGGGGCTCATCATTCATTCGCCAAGAACGGGCCTAAATTGTGCCTGTGGGATTAGGTCAATTTTAGTGGATCTACTTCGCCTCATTTGGTTACTAATTGGTTTCTTGTTTTATAAATCGAAATCTCATTTTCAGGAAATTACAAAACCCGTGCAGTCAGTCCATTGAGGTAATCCTTGGGTCAGGGGGTATTTAAATGGAAATGGCTCAACCGAGCACTGAGGGTAAGAGTGAAACTTCGCCGGGGTTTTCACATGAAATGTGAGCTAGCCCTTCAGATCCATAATAGATACATCCCTTCTAGTACTACTTATGTAAATATGATAAACCAGACTTTAAGGGTAGAGGGGGGCGGGGAGAAGCAAAATTTATCTGCTAAGGTTAATGTGGCATATCTTGGAAATCTTCCAAAATAGATTATGTTTTCCTTTGTCTTCGGCCACTTTAGCTGGGGAAAATCCTTTTGTCTAAAACCCGATTTAGTTATCGCCTCCCTCACAGAGCTCCTTTTCTCCTTTGCAAAACCCTGTTCCCTCGGCCTCACCGAATTACAAGAGAATCTTTAGATCTTGTTCCCACTGTAATCCTGCCGCAAAGGGAGCTGGTTTCCTCCTCATTTTAAACAGACAATCAAAGGATTTGTGAATTTTCTGCGGTAGGTCAAGTGCAGAAACGAAATCTCAGCTTACTCCCCTCGCCAACTGAAATTGGGTGCGGGAGCAGGTCACCGCCTGCAGGAGGTGAGGGGGTCCGGGGAGAGGGGTCTCTGGCCCACTCCAGGATTTTCGGGAGGCCGAACCTTTGACCGGGGCTTCAGAAGGTGTCCTGGGAAGGCTGAAGGGCGAGCTCAGCCCTAGGATTAGGTCAGGAAAGCCTGGCAGGTAGACGAGGACAGCCAGTCCCTTATGAAACATTAACCCAGACAAAACCGTGTGACGGAGATTTCAACCGCAAACATAGAGGAGGCAATGCTCCGTGAAAGCAAAAGTTTCCTTAAAAGGTGTGGGGGTTGGGGCAGGAGAGGGCGAGGGAGGCCCCAGCTAACCTGCGCCAGGCCGGCTGTTTATTAACCTGCGGGGAAGTCTTGTTTTTCCCTCGTAGGCGCATACTAATGAGGCCGCAACCCGAGACAACAAACAGTCCAGGCTGGCGCTGGGGTTCGGAACCAGTACTTAACCCCGAGCCCAGCTCGGGGATTTTCAAATGATTCGGGTCGGGAGGCCGTTCCCGGGCTGTTTCCAGCCGACTTGGGAGAACTTCACAGTTTTTAGAATAAAGGCGTTTGTTGGCCCCAAGCGCAGGCTTCGCACCCTTCCGGAAGACAAGATTCCAGACGCGAGGAGACCTCTGCCAGCTCCCAGGGCGCCGGAGCGCGCCGGCCCTTCACCCCCGCACAGCTTGGCGCTTTCAGGCCTCGGCTGGGCCCTGGCGTCCCCCGGCCAGCGCCACCCGCGTCCCCGGCTCTCCCAGCAGGTTCCTTTCCCCTTTCCCCAGTTTGCCCTCCTAAACCAACAGCCCCGCCCCTTCCGCCACTTGTGTGTGTGTGTGTGTGTGTGTGTGTGTGTGTGTGTGTGTGTGTGTGTGAGCAGCGATGAAAAAATGAACGCGTCGTGCCGGAAACAAGGGAGGATAGCTTGGCCGAGACCCGAGGAGCAAAGGGAAGGTGACACGGAAGGGGTGTGTACAGGTGGCTGTGGCGGAGGCCCTCCTGAACAGTCCAGGAGGACCAAAGCATCTGGGCAGTGGAGTCACTCAAGGGAGGGAAACTGGGGCGGGCTCAAGAGGCAGGAGGGATTGACGAGAGGCGAGGGAGGGAGAGGAGTCCGGCCGCGGGCGGGGAGCCTCAGTGTTTGCAGAGCGGTGGGGAAATCGTTAGATTTATTTAGATGTGCAAACACCCAGAAAGACCCGATTCGAGCTTAAGGGGCGCTCATGGTTACTCGTTACCAGGGTTTTGATCGCTTGCTTAGGAAGCAGCTCCTGGCCAACACATTTTAAGAGTCCAACTCCATCTTTTATTCTGAAAGATCCGCCCTCACCCCCATATTACAATGCGAGTGTGTCTGTCATTGTGTACTTCATAGTGATTTGTACTTTAATGCAGTAAATCAGTAAATCATCCCCCTTTTTGTCATGTTAAACCTTGTTTATTGGTGTAAGAATAAAAGAGTTTACCTAGTTAAATCAGCAGCAACACTGTTAAAAAATATTACCTGTAAGTAGTTACAGGTAGTATAACCTCTGTCTCCTCAGGTTTCCTCTGGCTTTTTTTTTTTTCTTTTCATTTTCTTTCTACAAACAGGTACTATAGCAGATTCCATATTAATTTTTTAAAAAAATCAGCCACAGGTATTCAGAGAATTTTATTTTTTAGGCATCACCGGAGAAATGATTTCTGGCAACGCCTGGAAAGATCTTAACGTGGTAGCATCGAGGCGAGAAAGGGACTTTGTTAATAGATGGTACCTGGAAAGTAGAGAAACGGAATGATTGTCTATATCCAATAAGGAACGGGAATATTGCTAAGACGGTATTAGAACCTGAAAGTAACTTCAAAAGAGCGTATACCTTTTTTTTTTTTTTTTTTTTGAGTCAAAGTTAGGACGTGTAAGTCGAGGGCTGGCTAGGGGTGGGGAGGTGGGGAAGCAGAGGAAGGATTGCTCTGGGATGTTGGTGCTGGAAGCCATTCGCAAGCAAACGGATTTCTACGGAGGGAATCAAAGTCAGAGGCCTAGGGGAGGAAAATAGCTGGAGAGCCCCGCAGCCAATGAGAAAGCCCATCAAGGGCCAGCTGGACCTGGCTCGAAGCCTCAGGTATTCGCCGCGGCATTCCCTTGATGTGTGGGCATCCTTGGCCTCCTGATAAGGAAGATGATGAAACTTTGGGAGAGAAGTAGTGTCCCTCACCCGTCTAAGCACACTAGTGAACCTACCCAAAAGTTACCGCGGGGGTTCGGTGTCGGCCCCGTCGGGGCACAGGCGGTCCTCAAATTCAGCTACTTGGGGTACTGCCAGGAGGGGCGCTCCGCCAAGGCCCTGTCCTTCCTGAGAAGCGGTCCGGGAGGGGGAGTCTGACCTCTACGCAGTCCTTTGTAAGTGGAGAGGGCGGGGCCGAAATTTACCGGCTCGCGTCCCAGGCTGTCCTGGTGCCGGGGATCTCGGATGGTATCCAGTCATGGGTGCGAACTTGTGTGTGACAGAACCGCGAGATGAGGCTCAAACTGCTAGCCAGGTCGGAGTCCCATCGCTAAAGGGTGTCTCTGTGTCTCCACAGGGCTCGGCGAGGCGTGGGGCCACTCGAGTCGCACCAGCCCCTTGGACAACGTGGGCAGAGAACTGGGCTCCCATCTGCTCCAGGTACCGGCGCGGAGGCACACATGCTTCGAGGGCTCAGGTGCTTGGCACCGGCGCCGGGCTTCTTGATTTTTAGGGAAATGGGATGAGGCGCAGACGTAGCCTTCTCGCAGCCCCTACAGCTTCTTCAAAATTAAAAAGTTGAGTTCTTAACCTCGTTGGGGGCTGATGGCACCTCTCGAGGAAGAGAGGAAGGCAAGGTGACAATGGGTACGTTGGGTTTAGAAGGGAGTCCCGCAAGGCCCCAAATCAGGATGGCTGAACCGAGGGAGGGAGCGCCATTCGACACCATTCCGCTGAAGGAACGGGAGCGCGCCGGGCCAGGCTGCAAAACCGCCAGAAATGAAGGATTTACACAGGAATAACGGGACTCTGGTAGAAATGCCCATCAATGCTTTAAGCCCACACATTCCGGATCCAGCTGCGTCTGCAACTCTTTCGTCTCCTCCCTGTAGTTCGCGGGCCCTCTCCTCTCTCTCCATGAGCTCTCACCCCAGGCCAGCCCAACCCGTGTACAGACCCTCGCGCACACACACACAGCTCCCCAGGTAATGAGTTTACCCAATGTGGAGGCGCCCATTACCGCCTTGTTTGCAGTGTACACCGTTTTAAATTGCCCGTTGCCCGCTTAAGTCGCATAGCAAATATTTAAAATAGCAAAACTCCCGGTGGCATTTTTAGGCTTGACACTTGTCTCCCACCCTCCACCCCCTTATTATTATCCATGTCCACCGCCAGCTCCTCATGTGGGAGCCTCAAACCTAAATAGCATGGTGGGAATCTGAGCTGGTTCTTCCTCCTGGGCCCAGCAGGAGTGCTGTGGCTTCCCCTGTCCTACGCTGTCCCTCCCTCAGTCCTGGAGGCCAAAGAGATTCTCCTGTCACAGAGCACACAGAAAGGCCCATGTAAGCATCCCCTCACAGGCCTGGCCTCCAAACCTCTGAATTAAATAGAAAGGCCTTGTCCCTCTCCTTTCTCAGGGACACCTTTCATCAGTTGTCTCTCAAAAAGTGCCCCCCCCCAGTCTTTCCATGCTCCCAGCTAATTTCCCTCATCAATATAAAAAAGAGAATGAAACCCAAACAATCTTCCACTCCTAGTTCTTGCCCAATTTTTTCCCTCTTCTTCATCCCACACTGCTGGAAGGACTTAATTACCCCCTCAGTTTCCATCACTCTGCCTGCTGCCCTCACTTCCACACCCTTGCAGTCTGGCATCTCTCCTAACTGTTGTGCTCTGTCTTGGCCCCACCACATTTTGATATCCAGCATAAAGATGCTCATCTCTTATCCTACCCGACTTTGTTCATTCCACAAATATAGGAGGGCCAACTGTGTGCCAGACAGAATGTCCTGCCCACATGGAGTTTACATTCTAAGGAGAGCAGCCTTGCAAACCCACACAGGTGCTTTACATAGTATAACATAGTAACAGGTGGTGTAGGTGCTGTGGAGAAACATAAGAAGGGCGGGGGGGGGGGCTGTGTTTTAGTAGTGCCACTTAAAATGGAGACATTATAGAGGACCTCACTGAGAAGGGGACATTGGGGCAAGTACCTGACAGAGGTGGCACTGCTTACTTGACATTCACCCTCTCCCTTGGCTTCTAAAGTAACACAATTTCCTGGATTCTTCTCCCTCTCTACTTGTTCCTCTGGTTTCCCCCTTGCTGTCTGGCTGTAAATGCTGGCATTTCTCCAAAGTTCCACCTCTGTTTCTCCTCTCACAACTTCAAGGCCTCATGGGTGATCTCAGCCAAAACCATCACCTCAACTTCTTTCCCACATTTGCATGACTCCAGCTGGTTTCTCCAGTCTAGACACCCTTCTGGAGCTCCAGACCTTTATTTCTTACTGCCAACTGGAAATCTGGCTAAACGTGAAGTTTAGCATCTCCAAGACAAGAATTCATTTCTTCCCTCCTCCAGACTGCCACTCATACAAAAACTCACCATGCTTCCCTAAATTTTCAATCTTGGTTCATGGTGTTACCCTCTACTCAATGACCTTGAAGTCCCTCTCAGCTTCTCTTTCTGCCACTATAAATTCCACAGCTAGAACCATCTTTGACTTAAACTCTCCCTCTTTATCACCAACCGGTGACCACCCAGATTTAGGCTCAACCATCTCTGATCTCTTCATCCCCACTTGTTCCTCCTGTAGGTCACTGTCCACATTCTGCCATTAAAAAACAAAACAAAATGAAACAAGGCACACACACACACACACACACGCACACACACACACCTAAGCATGCTATTTCCCTGCTTCCTTGTGTAGAAACTGTTGGAAACCTGATGCCTACAAGAGCATCTCCAAATTCCTCAGACTGATATCTCAAACTCTCCAAAAACCCAGCAGTGGTGTACTTTCTTAGCCCATCTCTGGCACACCAAATCCATCACACCTGAGTACACCAGATACACCCTCCCCCCAGTCCCTGCCTTTCTCACGTCATTCCTTCTGCCTAGGATACCCTTTCTCCCATCTCCAGTTCAAGCTTCCTCTTCAAGGCTCTGCTCAAATAGTTCCTCTGAGGCCTCTCTGCTTCTCCCACAGGTCTCTGGCCACTCAGCCTCTGTGGCCCTACAACACTGTCTATTCAGCTGTGTGGTCATTATATCTGTCTTTAGCCAGTTACTGCTGCTGGACTTCCAGCAACTTGAGAGCAGGATCTGACTCATCTTTATGTCCCCACTGCCTGGACTGAAGCCTCATTCACAGAGATAAAGGGATATTGAAAGTCTAAGACTTTCTTTCATGGAAAGCCTGTCAGTTTGATGCATCAACATAAACACACATATGTACACACTATACCACTACTCTTACAGACTTGCTGCCTGGAAAGCCTCTCATTTCCTAAAACCCTTCTCCCAGATTCTTTCTGGAGCTATTGAGCAGCTGCCTTCTGTCTACAAACTTTTCAGGCTACCAGCCCTTCCATATGGTTCAGTGCCCATTTCCCAGCCCTGCTGGTACTCTTTCCATTATAGGATGCTGCCACTATGGAGTCCTCCAAGACTGAAACAGGAAACCTTTCGTTCTTTCAGTGACCATCACCCCAAGAACCTACCTTCTTATCACAGGCTGTGACCCCCTGCCCCCTGTATTTGTGTGTGTGTATGCTATAGATATGTCTGTATTGTCCATTTTGGTGAATCCCGAGTCTCGGAGGGCAGTAGCCTTGCCAGCTACTTCCTCCGGGCATCTCCCAGTGTGCTGCATGTCCCAGATGCTTACATATTTGGAATGAACAAGAGAGGGACTCTTGTGGCAAGTTTTCTACGCCCTATTTCCTATCAGCCTCTCTCTATCCCCTCTGTCCGCTCTTCCTGACTGAACATCTAACTTCTGCCCCCAACCCCAGTTTCTCCTCATGGCCCTGGGCGGGGGCGGGGGGGGTCGTCTCCATTCAACTCTGTTTCTATCTCCCTAGACCCTGGATGGCTTCATCTTTGTGGTGGCCCCAGATGGGAAGATCATGTACATCTCGGAGACAGCCTCAGTCCACCTGGGTCTTTCTCAGGTAGGTGAGTGGTCCACACCTCCAGCCTTCCATGTTTACACTGAGAGCTGGAGGCCCGTGGTAAGGGTGGGGGTGCTTTCCCACAGCTCTTATATGTGCATTTCTGGGACTGGAAACATCTCAGCTGGCAGGTCTGCATCTCCCTTTTCCTCTACTTCCCTTATCCTTACCCCTTATCCTGCTGCCTTTTAGAGTCCCTACCGTAAGTCCAACACCATGGGTGTTGTTTACTTACTAACGTCTGATGTGTTCACCTGAACATTGTCAGGGCACTGCCAACTGGAAATCTGCATAAACGTGAAGTTTACTATTATTATATTATCATTATTTCCTTTCATAGATGAGGGAGCTGAAGCTTAGATAGACTGCAATAGGTAGCCGGCAGCAGAACGGGAATTAAAACTCAGGGCTGACTCTAAAGTTCTGGCCCCTGTCCTCACAGTCCTGTAGACTCCCTGATCCAATCTTCTAGCCCTGCCGGGGCATTCCACCACCTCGGAGAAGGTGATACCCCCCTCTTTACAGGTAGAGCTGACTGGGAACAGCATTTATGAATACATCCACCCAGCGGACCACGACGAGATGACCGCTGTGCTCACGGCCCATCAGCCCTACCACTCTCACTTCGTCCAGGGTAAGCAGTGCGGACCGGCGACACTTGGGCCCATCTCCCCTCACTTATTGCTTTTCCCCAATTAGCCACTGCAGGGGCAGGGACTGGGTCACGGCCCCACCCGTCTCACCGGCTCACGACCTGCCCCTCCCTCCGCTCCTCTCTCCCAGAGTATGAGATCGAGCGCTCCTTCTTCCTGAGGATGAAGTGCGTCTTGGCCAAGAGGAACGCGGGCCTCACCTGTGGCGGCTACAAGGTGCGTGGCTGAGAGGGACCATCCCAGCCGCGTGTAGCGGAAAAGGGCAGGACAAGAGGAGCTGGCGGCGTGGGAGGGACATTTCGGCGTCCCTGACTGCCCCGGAGGGCATCCCCCTGCACGCGCCACAGCGCTGTCTGCCCGGGAGCACCTCGAGAGTTGTTGAACTTTGTGAACACTTGGGGACTACTAAGTTTAAAGACTTAGTTTCACTGTGTCCGGTTACTGCCCGGCCGCTGGGACTCTTAATCTGGGGCTCATAATGGGCCTTGGGGGTGTGTAAAGCGTCTGAAATGGTCAGTCATTTTGGCGGATCCTGGAGTTTACTCACAGCGTCAGATTGCGACCCCCAGAGGGGTTAAGAACCAGAGCTTTAGGTCGAATCCATGGTTCTCTTGTTTAATGAGAGGAAACACGATTAGAAGGCAGGTTCCAGGGCCCCACTTCCCGATTTTGAGGAGTTAGGGTTGGCAGGTGTTGCCAAGCCTCTGTATTTTTACAAGCTCCCAGGTGAGTTCCGTGTGGCAGGACAGTCATTCCCTTGAGACGCTGGAACACCAATAACTTTGGACACCTCAGTGCGGGCCGTGGCCCACACGGCCTTTGTGGCCCCGGGGGAGTCTCAAAATGTTTCAATCCCTTACCCACCTTTTTGGGGATGTTTCCTGGCTGTGGCTGAGTCTTCCCGCCCCCACCCCCACCCCCACTACAGGTCATTCACTGCAGCGGCTACCTGAAGATCCGCCAGTACAGCCTGGACATGTCCCCCTTCGATGGCTGCTACCAGAACGTGGGCCTGGTAGCCGTGGGACACTCGCTGCCTCCCAGCGCCGTCACGGAGATCAAGCTGCACAGCAACATGTTCATGTTCCGCGCCAGCCTGGACATGAAGCTCATCTTCCTGGACTCCAGGTGGGTGGCTCAGGCGGGAAAGGATCACCCGAGCGGGAGGGCGGCCCTGCTTAGTGTCTGAGAGCTCTTCCTTGACCTTCGGAGCCCATTTTGCAGATGAGGCGACTCACCGGGCTCTGCGAAGTGGGGGCGGGCACCCAGGTCTGAGACGGCTGTCTGGGGGGTGGGGGGCATCCCGGCACCCTGAGTTCATGCCGCGAGGATTGCTCTCCGCAGAGTAGCGGAGCTGACGGGGTACGAACCTCAGGACCTAATTGAGAAGACCCTGTACCACCACGTGCACGGCTGCGACACCTTCCACCTGCGCTGCGCCCACCACCTGCGTAAGGCGCCACTCTTCCCGGCACCGGACTAACCCCAGCGCGTCCCGGGGAGGGGAGAGGGCGTGATTTAAGTCCACAGTAAGCGGATGGGTGGAAGCCTTGGTAGCGGGGCGGGGGGGTGGTGAAAGGCCCTTGCCAGCGAGCGGCCGCTCCAACGCTGAGCCCCACCTTGTTCCTCTAATATCCGCGGGACGAGTTTCTGAGTTTCTGGGTAAATTCCCCCAGGAGGGGTTTTCTGCTTCCCTCTCCTTGCCCTCTGCAAACCTCACTGAAGACGTGAATAAAAACTGGGGCTAGGCCACTTGGCTCACGTGCACTGACCTGCTTCGGCTTTTGATAGAGCTTTGCTTTGAACTTAATCTCTGGGAACAGGGACCATGAGCCTCGGAGTTCAGCTGCCCAGACACTACCTTCCTTAGTTAGAAAGTTGAATGGGGAAATCCCCCTATTTTAAGCGCCCTCCACCGCTTTGCCAATCGCAAGGGACTGGAGGACTCAATGCAAAGTAACAGGACAGTCGATTCCTTTGGGAATGCATGGGTTGTCTCTCCCTCCTGCCTGGCGCAGTTGTCAGAGCCCGTAGGGACCTGCACTCCCACCGCCAGGGTTTGCGTTTGAGCGGGCTCCTTCACCCCCAGCTGCCTCCTGTCTCTCCATCAGTGCTCGTGAAGGGGCAGGTGACCACCAAGTACTACAGGTTCCTGGCGAAGCACGGCGGCTGGGTATGGGTACAGAGCTATGCGACCATCGTCCACAACAGCCGCTCGTCCAGGCCACACTGTATCGTCAGCGTCAACTATGTCCTCACGTGAGTGCAAATCTGGAACCCTTCGCCCACTCCAGGCAACCCTGGTCTCCAGGAGGGTGCGGGTGGTGGGCACTGCGGGTTAGAGGAGGCTGGGGTCCACTGGGACGCAGGTTCTGACCCCGAATGCAGGCTGTGCTGGGAGACCGCAGCTTGAGCACTTTCATCTTTATGAAGAAGCTTCCTTTGTTATATTCTAGGGAAAGACTTGGGAGTTTTTCCATCCACAGTCTATATTTGCTTTCTGCTCTCTCTCTCTTTTAACCTTTTAAGCGAACTCTGCATTAAATAAAACTTAATACGGCAGAAAGAAAAGAGAGAGAGAGGAAAGCATCCGACGTACGGAGCCATTTATGGTTAACAAACAGGACATCTGTTTCACTTTTTCAAATCTGGGTTTGAAGTTCTTAATATTAACCAGAGTCTCCAATCAAAGTTAAGAGTTCTGAGAGAGTGATTCTTACGCTGAACCACAAAGGGGGTTTAAGTGACCAGGAGGGTCTGAGTTTAACCTCCAGGAAGCAAAGGGACCCGAGCTAATGCTGCAAGTCTTGGCCGGTGCCCAGGCCCCGCGCGTTGTGTGACCGCATCACGAGGTGAAGAGCTGGCCTCACGGTGCCACCTACGGGCACAAATGGCTGGACAGACGCGGTGGCGGCATTTGAGCCTTATTCTTTCTAGAAACAATAATCGTGTCTGGTCGGCGGTGTGGCCCTGCAGGCTGATCACGTGGTATGGTGTGTGGCTGGTGAAGAAAGCACCTTCTGTATAATGTCTGTGAAGTCGAATTGCTCAGGTTGGAAGCCTTTATGAAGAGCCCTTTTGTGTGCACAGTTGCCGGGTTTTTTTGGTAGTCACTGAAATTGTTGTGATTTTAGGGGACCTCAGGAGTTTACTTTGGAAGCATTGACACACCCGGCACTTAGTAGAAATGCTATTTTCACATTAGAGTTGGTTAAGGGGTACTATTTGGAATCAGACTATACTACAGGCCATGAGGACTAGATTCATTCCACGTTGTTTTAAATTGCTGAGTTAAAAATGTAGTACTTGAAAATATTGTGCTTGGCAATAGACTATTTACTCTGCGTCCTGTTTAATAAGATAATTTAATTCAATAGACTTGGGAAATGAATTTGGTGTAAATGAGGATTCAGTATTCAAGAATAATAGCTGGTTATTAAGAAGAATCTTTTTACTCCTTTCATTTAATGAATGGTACTAAAATAAATACTGTTAGGTTTTTGTAATAGCAAGAAAGCTGTGGATTTTAATACAGAGCAGCAAACATACCAATATTTTGGGTATCATGAAACAAAACCATCTATTTTATGAAAGCAATTTTTTATATTATTAAAATAAACATAAGAGAAAATGGCAAAACATAACTCATAAAATAAGCCACTCTGTGAAGCAGAAGTATTAAGGAGTGAAAAATTATGTCTGCTTACCATGGAAAGGAAACGGACATTCTTTAAGAAGGTGCTTTGTATGTCTGAGACATCACAAGCATTATACATACACTCTGTTCTCTGGTGGGTGCCTGTGGTTAGTAATCATTTTTTATCAAACAGCAGGGTATATAGTCACACAGACCCATATAAATGATCAGAATGCAAGTTAGACCTCCCAATGGGTAAGCTTAATTTATGTTTGGAGTCATTTTGAAATATTCTGTTTTGTTTTCCAGTGGATAAGTGTACTTCCTTTCTTCTGTTAACTCTGTCATTCTTCACTTCACACACTTCTCCAGAGCTGCAGGATTAGGCTACCAACTCTACATCAGATTAAAAAGATGTAATGAGGATAAATGATTTACAGAAGGAAAAATAGCATGGCTCATATTTTTCTAAATGTTTTCTACCTCCGAATGAAAATAGAAATAAACACACAGAAGCACACAAGATGAAAAGCTGAAATTGATTACCCTTTTATGAGTCTCAACTCCAATTCTTTGTATAAAAATTCTTAGGACAATTTTTATAGCTGCAAATGTGGAAGATGAAATGTCATCAAGTGGCTCTGTGTGTGTTGACAGGATTTTCATAATGAACAGGTTGCAGTTTGTTTGATGTGTATATCACACATCTGGCTGGAAGTTACTAATTTACATTGTCTTAGCAAATTAAATAGATGGCTATTGATTCTCTATGGTAGCAGTGAACTACCACATACATTTGTTTTCAAGGCTAGTTCTCTATGAAGCCTGAGAGTGATAAGTGAATTCTTTCCAAATATGCCACCTCAAACAATGTACTTAAAACAACAAGCCCCCCAAATAATTTGACAGATCAGATGTTTTCCCAATTTAGACATGTTAATAGCATACATTTTGAAGGTGTATGCTATTATCATGAAAGTAGAGAGAATTTTAAATAAGCATTGGTTAAATGAAGGTGTGACATATTGACGGAAGCTACATTCATAAGAAACTCATTTTTCAAATTTCCTGTTGGCCAATTTATTGTTGAAGTTAAAATATGCCTAGAAATACCCATCATTATTATCTGACAAAAGTGATGATGAATAGAAATATTCAGTAATCTTGTTCTAATAAGCAGCTGCAACTGCGAATATAGGAATTTTAGAGGCAGGGGGTAACCGCCTTTGTATGACCATCACACAAAATGTTGGTGTTCTGAAAATCTAGAGGGGAGAGGGAGGGGACATTATGATTAAATTTTAAAAATTCTCTTAGTTTTTCTCAGGGTGCTTGAGGGTCTCTAAAGCTTATACAGCTCTTCATTAAAACTCAGAAACAAAAACAAAAACAAAAACAAAACAAAAAACTCCTTTCAAACCAAAAGACAGACCAGTTCATGATTTTCTATAAGACACACATATCCTGTTAGCTTTATGTTCCACCTTAAAAAAAAATCATTCTTATAGGTCTTGAGTGCCCACAGGCTTTGAAATAAGTGTTAAGTATGACAGGCCACACTCCCTGATTATTTCCAGGAGGATAGATGAATGGAGATAGTGTCTAGTAACAGTGAATATTGGGGAAAGTCCAGACAAGTATGGAGAGTACAAGGAATTCTGTATGAAAACTGAGTAGTTTTCCTGAATTCATATTTCCTTGAGTTTGTTTAATTAGTAGTGTTAATTATTCATTGCCAGTTCAGATGGAAAACATTAGTGCTCAATGTGAAGAAAATTGAAAATGTGGAACACCCAATAAACTATGAAAAGTAATTTCTAGAAAAATGAAGAAGAGTCTTGATTATTTTTATGTTTTTAAACTTCATATGTTATAAAAATAAAACTTTTAAAATCTACTTTTAAGGATAAACCAATGAAGTATAAAAATCCCATTTTAAAATATTTAAGAACAATAATTTTTCAAACATACAGAAAAGTTGAAAGACTAGTACAATGAATACCCATACACACATCATTCATAATATAAGCCATTTTGTTTTATCTCCATTTCTACCTATATGTCTGTCTATTTGTATGTGCATTTTTCTCCACTGAATTATTTCAAAGTAAGCTACAGACATCATGATTCTTCATCCTAAATAACATTCTCCTACATAGCCACTGTACCATTTATGATGGCACATTTAAAGGGTTCAAAATTACTGTGTGTAGAAGGTTGCAAAAACATACATGAGATCTAGTTTACTGATACCATTAAAAACAATCTGTCACTGACATTCATCAAGTACTCACTGATATATGACCTCAGTAGATTGATTGATAGATGATATTTTGTGAGGGGACTTCTGTGGGACATAGTTGTGAAAGCTAGTGTATTTTAAATTAGACTTCTCGTAAGAATTGTTAAGTTAATAAAATTCTGGCATTTTCTTTCTGGAAAGTAAAAGATTTTGAGAGTGATTTTGGTAACTTTGGAATCAGACAGATTTAATATTTTCAACCATTTTTGTTTGTAAAGAAGGCTTCTCTGCTTATATCCTAAGTTTAGGATAGAACATTGTTTTAGTGGAAAATCTCACATACTGTTTTAGAGTGATTCACTGAACACATAAAAGGAATTTTCTATGCTAAAATTTCTATTTCAGTGTTTCAAAAAGCAGAACAAATAGACAATGTACATTAGTGGTCTATGCAACACTATCTACTAAATAACCCTTTGCATTTGTAGAAAAGTTTGGGCAAAATGCCAAAGGAGACATACTTCCTTCATGTAAAAGAAAAAAAAAAAAAGGTCTCTATATTGTAATTATTGCAGGTCCAATATTTTTGCTTTTCTTTTTATAAAACCGCTATAGTTCCCACATTTAAAAAGGGTCTTTAAGTGTTAACATACTCTGTGAAGGTAAAGCCTTATGGATTCTTATCACAAAGCAGCAAATGTTAAAATATGCTCATGTTAGTTTGCTCTTTCAAGTGTATTAATAGTGCTGAGTTAATTTGGGCATTTAAATTAAAAATTATTTTTTTATTAATTTAAAGCCCCAGTGATATTATTGTTATTACTACCAGGAAATTTTAGAAAATGCTTTTTAAAAACTTGGCCAATAATATACATAATTATAGAAATAGATTTTATTTTTCTGGCTAGCAAAACCATTTTTAATATTATAAATAATGTCAAATGAAGTGCCTTTTGACTTAGCAAGCCATAGCAAAATGTACTCTCATGCCTTGGATCTGTGGAGCACTCATTGCATAGAATTAATTTTTTGATCATTAAGAATAATAATCATGCACTAATGTATACCCATAAATTAGATTTGAACCTTAATTGTGTTTAATCTTTATCATAATAATATTGAACATCAAAGCCCCAGTTGTCCTTTTCAAATGATCTTTTAAGTAACTGAATGATTATAAAAATGAATTGAAGACACATTTCTATGAATGGTAATTTATAACAACTAAAACTATTAATAGTAATTAATAGTGATTTTATAACTACTAAAACACTTTATTAAAAGAAAGAGCTGGGACATTTAGTCTGTTTTATAGTTCATACCACCAGTACTCACTTAAATAATGTTATCCTTCATATCCTTTTTACTTATGGTAATTTT